ACCCTGGGCCGCTGCAGCAAGGGCTCAGCCTCTGTACATGGGTCACCAGCTCTACCTACTGAGCTAACTGCTTATTGTCTAAATTAATTTGCCTCAGTGCAGTTAATTTGCAACATGCTTTATCTGTTTGTTGTTATCTTTACTGTTGGGCATCTTTTATTCCACCTCACTTCTGTAGCATTAGACAATTGTCAGATTTTATTTGTCTCATTGCCTCATGGAATGTTTTTAATCCTGGTTCCAATGATGTAAAGCACTAACTGTGTTTTGAAAAGTGCTAAATACAGTTTATTATTATTATTATTATTATTAGTAGAAGTATTGTATTGTTTAGCTGTATGTCTGCTTCTATCTCTGTTGAAACTGTGTGTAAAACTAAAAGCAACGTCCTGTAGCTTTTTGGCTTTTCATAAACACACTTGTTTAGAATAAAGCCATTACAAGAAAATGTCAAGGACCACCCACTTTAGCAGACTGGTTCAATGTGATGCATGACATCTTTGTGAAGGAAAGATTAACCTTTGCTTTGAGACTGAAGATTAGATAGTTTTACATCAGAAACATTATTGTAAAATGTAAGCTGATTTGTACTGAATTTTGACTTAAATAAACAGAAATAATAAATAAATAAACCCAGAGTCCATTATTTATTTTAGTGTATTTTTTATTATATATATATATATTGTTGATTTTTAGAGCCTGGAGCACCTTGATTATGTTTGTCTATATATTGTCTGTAAAATATTTTGTCAAGAGAAATACCTCTTTTACTACAAAACAGATCTACCTACATACAAGAAGCCAATGCAGCCAATTCCCGGGGCAGACAAACTCAAGCTTCAACCATCTGAAAGGACAAGTCTGGTTACATTTTATATTTCTCTTAATATTAACAAATCCCATGTGCAGACCCAAACCAACAGTCAATGTATCTACTATCAAGTATTGTGTGTGATATATAGTGTAAAAGCTTTGAGTGGTCAGAAGACTAGAAAGGCATTATACAAGTAAAGTCCAGGTACCGTGATTACTTAAGACCTTGCCAAGTTGTTGCTGGAAAGTGTTCTTGCTTGTGCTAGCTGTATTAGCATCCGCAGATCTTATAGACTTTAGTCCAACTTTCCTCCCTTCTTATAGAATCCAAATGTCTTTCAAACTTTAGATTTGATGGTGTGCTGTAAATCGTGTGTAATGTTACTCTCGTTGTGAGACCCTGCCGTTGACCTTTTACGAGAGCATCAGTCGACGGGTTCATGATACATTGACATCGATCTAGGGGTCTGCATACCGATGTAGTCGAATGTAGTCTATAACCTTAAAACTGATTCTCAACTTGTATCTGTAAATCTTTACACCCCTAATAGACTCTATAAATAAAAATGGACGTAGGTTTCTGAAGAGTTGTTGTGAGTGCACCAGAACTGACACATAAATCGCTAATAAAATAACATGGAAAATAACATAATGGGGTAAAATAACAGACTTCATGTGCACATTATTTCTTAAAAAAAAAAGGAAACAAGCATTTTTTCCTCATGTAGTGAAATGTTTACTGTAGCAGCAAATGCACACAACAATATGCAGGTATAACATCATGACTCGTAGCAGCAACTCAGAGGCAGTCCAGGTTAACTTAGACGCCTGGCTATATACCGTTGTGTGGACACAGTGAAAAGGCCACAATCTATTTCACCTCCTAATCAACACAAAAATCATAAAAGCTTAAATACAAAATAGATCTTTTCTCTAACTGGGCCCCCTCAATCACTTGGAAAATATAATATTGCAGAAAATGTATTTACATCCTGGCTTTTAAACGCCTCTGTGGCCTGTGACAGGACGTCATGAAGAATATTTAACATACATCAAATGACACAAACTCATAAATTAATCAGAGAATCGATTCCATTAAAAAAAATTAATAAGAAGAAAAGCCCAAACCAAATTAATAGCAACATAAAAACTAATCAAACCATCACTCACACCATCGGATTCCTAATAAGAACTTAATCTGGAATTAAAATCAAACTATTTTTGGATTTAATAACGTCTCAGCAAACATTGGCACACATTGTTCAAAGGCAACCTCTTTGTAATACTTTGGCTTAGGACAGACGGCATGTGTCGGCCCACTAATCACCTAAGGCATTAATGAATATTGATCCAAAGACCAACCTCAACTGAACTAGAAATGACAGGAAAATACTTTGTGTAAATACTGATAATGACGATTGATCTCACGCTACCTGATTGTTAGATGCTTGTTTTTAAGTATGTCATTGTTAAGAGTCGCAGTGTGTTATATTAGTTATCGGGAAGCACTCGAGGAAGTCACATACTGTTAAGTACTTGAGTATCATGAATGCACAGTGCAAGTTCAAGGATAATACGTTGAGCATTTTGTTCAGCTTTTCTTTTCTTTTTTTGCTACATTACCTTCAAAACCCTCGACAAAAGCACGGTGGAAACATTTCAGGACGCAAAAATCTTCCTGAAGACACATTTCTTCAGTATTTATCCCCTGATGAGGAAACAGGAAACACTGATTTGGTGGTTTGCAGCTTAAAACTGGACTAAATTTAGTTAAAAAGTGATTTCTGACTATAAATGCAGCTCAAACAGCTGTTTTATGGAACCTATTTCAGCCCAGTTTGATCCTAAATGTCTTCTGACCTGCAAACCAACACACAAGTGCTTACTGCAATATTCCCTACCTTTGATTCTGCTGTTTTATCTACATCACACTCATAAATATCCCTCATTTCCACTTCACCGTCTCTGTCAGCATCCAAGCAGCGAGTCCTCCCAGTTCAGTCCAGTTGGGATGCCAAATGGGACAAGGAGTGGGATATTTCCAACACATCCCGTCCCATTTATTCCTGATGGGAATCCATCATTCCTCTTGGCACCACAGCTCCCGTCTGTAGCTGCAGTCAGTTTGTGTCTCTGGTAGTAAACATCTGATACTCTTAAGGTTTCATAATTGTCCACACAAGTCAGTAATCATGAAGCAGGGAAGAGCACTGCTAGAACCCGTCGTCATATTCTCCATCGCAGCCGTAATCTGGAGGGTGACAGACACAGAGGGAGAGATTACACACACTTATTATCATTATTGAAGAAATAATGATGAGAATGATGAGAAAATACTCCACTACAAGCAAAGGTCCTGCATTAAGGTATATGAGAAAGATTTACTTAAAGTATGAAGTTCCCTGTCAGCGTTATAATATTACATCTGATGTTGCTGCTGTAGTTGAAAGCTGAGCTCATCACAAACATTCAACACATCTGGACATATGTGGGTTTCACTGGACAGGAGGGGTAACTAAAGTAACTTAAGTGGTCAGACAAATGTAAATACTCAAGTTCATGAGTAAATGTACTTAGTTACATTCCACCATGATTATTTTTGTTGTTTTTAATTTTAACTTTGTTCATTTTAGACCATTTTATTTAGATAAAGTTCTTATAGAACAACATTGAACGGACTGCTGTTTCTCTTCTCATGCTCTTCACATCCTTAATGTAGGGCAATCTGTTACTGCTGTGTTTTTATATTACTCTACTGTTTTCTGTCTGGCTTTTATTTACTTGCTTTAATGCGTTTCTTTGTCTTGTCTAAACACAACTGTTTATTTCTTTTGTTTTTTTAAGAGTTAAAGGTATGATATTATCCTGGAACCTCTCCGTTGATCATCACCAGACTGGACGCAGTTGCTTAGACCTACAACCAATCAGAGCAGTGAGCAGGAAAAAGATGGCTGAGTTTTGTGTTGGTCTGGACGGACCTGCAGACTGAAGTCCAATCAGAGCTGCTAAACATGTGACGCTGCTCTCTCCAATCATTGTATAAAACCTGCCCCCATATTAAATAAACAGTTATTGGTCCGAACAGACCCAGAATCAGTTTAAGAATTCAGTTTGAATGAAGGGTGGCCAGAGCCAACGATCAATCAAATGGGCTTGGCAGATTCTGGTCTGGTTCCCAGGGTAGTTGAGACCAGGAATACAGTGAAACTCTGGTATCAGGAGCAAAACACAAGCTCTCTTCCCATTATTCATTATTTCCCATTATTGGAAAAAATACTCTACAGAAGAGCAGCGGGTGAGCAAGAGAAGCTTTAAGAGCCAAAAAGAGATTTTAATGGACGTGTGAGTGAGTGGCACTTAGGTAAACATGGTGGGTTTCCACAGAGACGCTGTGTGATGTGTGACTTCACCAAGAGCAACAACAGGTCAGACTAATAAAATGCGAAAAAGTGTCACTTCACTCTCTGCCTGACTCTAGATCAGTCTCCAGTGTCGGCAGGAGTCCGTCCAGCTCAACTGTCCTCTGGAGCTGCTCTGAGGCTGACCCTGACCTTTGACCTCACTGCGGAGGGGGCAGGAGTACAAACAGAGAGTTTCCCTACAGGAATCAATTAAGTAGCTCAGGAGTTTTAACTGAGGCAGAGTCAGGGACCTTAAAGTTTAACAGCCAGAGACGTAAAGGGAAGAAATTTAATCTTACCGAGGGCTCATTAAAACATACCAGGAGTCAGAGCCGTGACCCAGAGAGGCAGATTCATTAAAAAAAGTCATTCTAACTATTTCACAGTGCACACACTCGGCGTCCAACTGAGAAGTGACAAAGCTGTCTGACGCGGTCGGTGTCAACTAATTCAAATCATCACTGAGCCTGGAAGACTTCTTTAAATGACAGAGTCTGTCAGTGTGGTGGGATTGTTTCAGCCAATACAAAGAGTTAAGATTCATTGGTTTCCACTGGTGTGCAGCAGTTTTCTGACTGTCAATCAACTGAAAAACTAATCAAAAACTAGTTTAACAGCTAATTAATTGAAATAAAGATTAAGTGGCAGCTAGCAGTCAACAGCCAACAAAATACTGCTGTGGAACTCACAAAAGGCCTGAATCTACAGCCAGTGGGTGGTTTGTCTGTTCTGAGCTACTGTAGAAGAGAGAGGAGATGATAAAAGTTTCATTTCCATTGATCCATTGATTATACACTAGTGAAAAGATACTTATGAATATTATACTACATTGTAGAAAGTAATTTACAAACCAAGCCGTCAAATATTTGTTGGTATCTGCTCCTCCAATGGGAGGTTTTGCAGTTTTTTTGCCAATTAGGTTCTAAAGTTTAAATTTTTACAGAGTTTACTTTAGTTTTACATTAATGTTTCATTTATATTGTTTTGTGGTTAGCACCAAATAAGTCATGTTAAAACTTTACATTAGGAACATTTAATCAATTAACCAGAACAAATACTTAAGAAAAACATTTTAATGAATAAAATCACAATTTACCGCCCAGACCGACAGTGACTTCTAGAAAATTCATTAGTGAAGTTGATTTATTGTGGAAACGGATTGAAATAATCATTTTTTAACTCACTTTTTAGACTCAATCATAGAGAGTAAAGATGACTTAATGGGCTTTTTGTATATAGCTCAGTGTGGGTTAAAGCATCAGAGATTCGGTATCAGACATAATAGCGAGAGATATAAAACTGCACCATTTCAGAACATTTGTAGCAGTAGTACTTTGTAGTACTTTCAGATGTCATGTAGGCTGTAATACGTAATATGAATTTTAATAAATGAGATGGATGAAAAGCTGATCTGAAAACAGCCAGTAGCACCGACAGCTGCTGTCATACTGCAGGTTAAACAAACTGTGTGTGTGTGTGTGCGCGCGTATGTAAACTGACCGTTGCCGCCCAACAGGTCCATGGCACTAACACAAGGCTCCTCTTCCTCCTCATCCTCCTCGTCAGCAGCTGCATCATCGTAGACGACCGGCCCGCTCTCCACCACCACTCCGCTGGCGGGGGCTCCCACTGGCACCGGCAGGGGGTTGGCAATCTGAGCAAACAGGAAATATTGTCGGTCGTGAGCGTGTCGTTCGGTATTTTTAATATTTTTTCCTCTGCGTGACACACAAGAGTCCCCGGGGAAATCTAAACTAGATCTGATCTCATATGCCCCACTTCCTTTAAAATGATAAAAATAATAAGCATAAACATAGTGTAGTATGGTAGTGAGGGGTGGGAGCTGTAGGGCAGGTGGAGGGCACGCAGGGTAGTGAGGAGATATTTCATCTGCTGCTGCATTCCCACATATGACTAAATACAGCATCAGAGCGTGACCACAACCTTTATTATCTTACATTTACACATTATTCTCTCGTTTCCAATTCTACTTTTTAAAATCTGCACCGTCAACAGTGTACTTTGTATCGTACAAAAAGGGTCTGAAATTAACTAAAGCCTCGGGGCAAAAATACCCTTCAAAGTTCATAAAAAGCCTGTGAAATTAAAAATGAAGGGGTGAGGGTGAGCGCGGGGGCAAAAAAGTAATTAGAGCGCCCTTTGCTTTTCACCCCGTTCACATTGTCTTAGTTGAGCTGTCTGATGTTCGTGCGTGAATGTGACGACTTTCTACCCCCCCGTGGGGCAAAACACTGCTGATTCAAGTAGAGTCTGTAGCCAGGAGGGTCTTTCCAGTTGCATGCTGGGAGACAAAAACTGAGCCGTTTTTGATCAGAAAACTAAGCCGCCTGAAACGGGAGGAAATGTTGGCAGCAGTGAGAGAAAATAAACAACTGGTATAATAAAGGGAGGGGGGGGCATTTCCCAGCAGCTGAAACAACCATTAAACTTAGTGAGTATTAAAGTTCCATCTCTTATTTTTGTACATTTTCTCCCACAAGTGGCCCACAGTTCCACCAAATACACACTAAAAAGTCAATAAAAAACACAAAAAATGGCCACAAATGGAAGCCTCTGTTGAAGTTGTCTTATATATATTTTTTATAAATATATATTATATATATTCGCGTGGGGTTAGCTCTGGTTTAACCAAATGAAGAGTTAAGCCGTTAGGTAGCAACTATTGCGAGTTCTGTTGCTATGGAAACCTACAGGAGCTGCTGGTTCCGGAATAGTTTTTTACCCATTATGACATCATTCATTTAGTTACACGCTATTCAGTTTAGCTAGCTACAGTACGAGGTTGTAGTTGAATTTGTTTCAGCTCAGCCTACATTTCATTTTCAGTCCATGGAAGTGACATTGTGCATAATTGATTATCCGTAACTTTTTGCAATTTGATTATATAATCCCAAATTTGTTGACAATTGTTGACAGTCCTAATGCAAACTAATGCTCATTCACACACCGAGACACCTAACCAGGACGAACAGTAACCATCGTAATTGCTAAAATCTGTGAGCATGTTGGTCAGAACAGTTCCAACAGAACGAAATAACAACGGGCAGTCACACACTCATACAGGTTGTTAAACCAACAGATTATCTGAACCGCTTTGAGTGGACGTCAGACTGAAAGTGAGTGCACCTGAAACGTCGCCATTAGTCCTACATTGCACACAATGCACACAGCTACAAGTACAGAAGGTCAAAGCTGAAGCAGTAAGTGGGTCTGGAAGCCTTTGTAAAGCCTTTTTGTTTTACCTTCAAAATAGATTCAGCTAACCTGGAGGTTTGTTTACAACGGATCGTCTGACTCGTCGTATTTCTCTCCACGCTGGACTGATCCGTATCGAAGCCGCTGTTACCAGATCTCCATGAGTATAATGCTGTTATTAATGATAATAAAACCCGAGTTGGAACAAACTGTAGTTTTCCTTTAAGGTTTTAAACTTTTTATCAAAGAAATATTTATGCTGATTTATTATTAAGTCCATCCAAGCCTAATAAGTCACCCAAAATGTATTCTGAATGGAGGTTAAACTGTCGACCAGTTCTTATACAACTGTAACAGCCATCAGACACCATATCACCAAATATATATTAACACCACCATATCACTTCCTTCTACACTTACTGCACTTGATGAGTCGAGAGATTTGTTTCTAAACCTGTGCTGCTGTAGGACAGAAAGAAAGGAGGAAAATTTCCCCTCGGAAAACATCCTGACGAACAACTTCTCAGCTTCAATCTGAGCTTTATTTATTTTGCTTAGTGATGAACTGTACAGATCTCAAAACGCAAACAAACTGACACTGGGGAGGACAGGAGTGCACGCTGTGGAAGATTTCATTTTCCTGTTTCCTACCTGCCTTAAACCAGAGAAGCTAATAAAATATCTAAAACAAGACTTAGTTTCTGTCTAAATGCGGCAGATTCTTCGGCTCTGGAATGACACAAATGTACATTCACTGCAGCAGAACCCATCATGTTCAGTTTTTCCGGAGCGACTAAAAGAGGAAACCTGCGTGTTATCACTTTCCCTTCACTCAGGGCTAATTATAAAGCTGGAGGAGAAGCAGGTGGAGGGTCCACAGCGTGACGGAGAGATATTTCTGTTCTCCTCAGCAACAGCCTGTTGGAGTCCCTGCTGGGGCCTTCCTCCTCCTGCCATCTCTCCCTCCAATTTGCCTTTCATTTCCTCCTCCTACTCCTCCTCCCCTTCCTCCCACCTTTCTTTTATTTCACGTTTCCTCTATTTTGCCTCTCTTTTATTCTACCCACATCCTTCTCTCCTTCCTTTCGTTCCTTTACACATTGATTCTCATTTTTGGCTCAGACTCTCCTTCCCACCATTCCGCACTTCCTCCTGTTTTTCTATCCGCAGACTTTGATAGAAACCCAACGATTTTACAATGAAGATATATCCAGAGCATGAAAGATCCACAGCAAAAACCCAGCGACATCCTTCCCTTTCCCCTCAGTGGATCCTTGCAGACTTTAACCTCTGCGGGATTCACATCACAGGAGCTGGGCGCCTTTTTACTCCCAATGAACCGAAGCCGCTAATACAAAAACACTAAAAACAGAATGAAAAAAAGAACATAACAGCATAAACACGGTGCACCAGACTAATTAGGAGGTGGGAGAGGTTAAATGGGTCATGGTGAAGGTCTGTGAGAAGGACAAGAAATATGGTTGTGTGTTTGGTGTGAGCTATTAGACACTACTGAGATTATGTTGCATGTTATTTACACTTTGAGTCTCAGCGCTTTAACAAGAGAGCAGCTCGTTAGGAGTGAGAATGCAACTCGAACCAACTACAGGAAACCACCGCTCAGAGAGGGTTTTATGGGTGTGAGGATGCTGGCATCTGATCGCCTGCAGTTACTCATGCATGGAACTGGCAGAACAAGATTAAGTGAGAGCAAACAACAGTGTGGATTAATGTTCGCGTCCGGCCGTTTCTTTAAGTGTTTTAAATGGCACGCCAACCAGAAAGTATAAAATTACAGGAAATGGCAACGTTAAAAGGTCCAGTGTGTAACATCTAGGAGGATCTATCAGCAGAAATGGAATGAAACTACTCATAGTTTCATTAGTAAATAATCACCTGAAAATTAGTCGTTATGTTTTTCGTGACCTTAGAATGAGGCATTTTTATCTACAGACGTGCGTGAAGGGACAAACCAAACACTGACTGTTCACTTTCTACGCTGCCATTGTAGTTTCTCCTTTGTGCTTGGAAGGGGAGGGTGACGCGAACGAGTTGCAATCTGCGACTACACTCCTAAACTGTACACATTTCATGTCTGAAATGATGACTTTTTTCAGATATGAATCACAAGAAACACTCTTTGTTTCGCAGTTGATGGGTTATGTCCACGCCCCTTCCTCTCTGACATGATTAGCATAATTAGCCTTAATGGATTAATCAGCATTAAACCAATTAAACAGCAGCTAAACCTATATCAGTAATGTTTGGTATACAACAGGATAAAATGACAAAACACTCAAAATCCTTCATTTGTCTGACTGACAGATGAAGCCAAAGGAGAAGCCACTGTAGACCTAGGTCTAGCCAAAAAGAACAAAGTTAGCCCAATGAGAGAACGTATAAAGATCTACCAATCTACAATGCAGACAGTTATAGAATAACTAAATCCATCAGGGATCCACAAGGCTGCATCTTATCAAATAGAAGTCAGCTGCCTGATGTGGATCAATTTGTGGGTCCTTCACACCAAAAAGGTTGAGAACTACTGCTCTAGAGAGATCTACTGCTCTAGAGAGATCTACAGCTACGTGATGTTCACATAGTAGCATACAAGTCATTGCTTCTTCAGACGGTCATGAGACAAAAGCAAAAGTTCCTAAATAACGTCCACATTAAGACAACTACTGAATCAGCCTGCAGTCATCTTCAGAATATATCAGGAATTAGACTGTCTCAGCAGGAAGAGTTAACAGCAGGTTAGACTACTGTAACGCTCTATTTACAGGTCTCAGATCAGAGAGCTGCACACTGCTGCTACAGTCCTCATTAAAATCCAGGAGAGACCACATCAGTCCAGCTGCCAGATCTTCACACTGGCTTCCTGTGTGTCCAAGAATGGACTTTAAAATACTACTGAATGGTTTATTTTTGATCTGCTGCTCTGTTATGAAGCGTCCACACCTCTCAGATGGTCTGGGTTCAGGTCTCAGGTCGTAACTGAGCAGTTTTTATGCTCCAAAAATCTGGAACAAACTCCCACAACACTTTAGGTCTGCCCTAACTCATATCTTCATATCTTACACTGAGCTGCAACTCTTCTATGGTTTAATCCGTCTAATCTATTTTATCTTATTTTAATCTTTGTTTTTACTTTGTTTTAATCCTTTTAAATCTTATTTAAATGTCTTTTTTGATATGAGTTATTTTTTTTAACATCTTAACGCCTTTATGTCTTATGTAAAGCACTTGGTTGTTGAAGGCTGCTAGACAAATAAATTAACCTTGCCTTGATTTCCTTAGAAATGTCATCCTCTGCAAATGGCAAGACCTTTAAGTCTCTTCAATAGCTCTAATTCTGCTTGTTTGTTCTTACGCTGGTGTGAACAAAATAATTTGTTTAAACACACAAAGCGGTGAGCGATGAGAGCTCGTTCAGCC